CCTCCTCTCCTCCTCCTCCTCCTCATCCTCCTCTTCCTCCTCCTGCTCCTTCTCCCCCTCCATCTCCTCCTCCTCCTCCTCTTCCTCCTCCTCCTCCTCATCATCATCAGCATCAGCATCAGCATCATCATCAACATCAACATCATCAGCATCATCATCATTATCATCATCATCAGCATCACCATATCGTCATCATCATCATCATCATCATCATCATCATCATCATCAACATCAGCATCAACATCAGCATCATCAGCATCATCAGTATCATCATCATCATCATCATCAGCATCGTCATCGTCATCGTCATCGTCATCTGCATCATCATTTTCATCGTCATCTTCATCTTCATCAGTATCATCATCAGCATCATCATCATCCCCGTCCTCCTCGTCCTCCTCTTCCTCCTCCTTCTCCTCCTCCGCCTCCTCCTCCTCCTCACCCCTCCTCCTCCTCCTCCGCCTCCCCCTCCTCCTCCTCCTCCTCCTCCTCATCCTCCTCCTCCTCCTCCCCCTTCTACTCTCCTCCCGTCCTCCCTCCTCCTCCTTCCCTCCGAGTTCTTCCTCCCCGCCTCCTTTCTCCTCTTTCTCCTTCTTCTCACCCCTCCTTCTCCTCCTTCTTCCTTGTCCCTCCTCCTTATCATCATCATCATCATCATCATCATCATCATCATCATCATCATCATCATCATCATCATCATCATCATCATCATCATCATCATCATCATCATCATCCTTCTCCTCCTCCCTCTTCATCTTTCCCCTCCTTATCCTCCTTCTCCTCCTCTTCCTCATCATACTCATCCTGCTCCCCCTCCTCATTTTCATCCTCTCCTCATCCCACCTCCTCATCCTCCTCCTTCTCCTCCTCTTCCTTCTCCTTCTCCTCCTTCCCCCTCCTCCTTCTCCCGTCCTCCTCCTCCTTCTCCTCATCCTCCTCATCATCAACATCCTCCCTCCTCCCTCTCCTCCCCTCCTCCTTCTCCTCCTCCTCCTCCTCCTTCCCCCTCCTCATCCTCCGTCCTCCCTCCTTCACCTCCTCTTCCTCCTCCTCCTTCTCCTCCACCTCTCCTCCTCCTCCTCCTCCTCCTCCTCCTCCTCCTCCTCCTCTTTCTTCCTCCCTGCCTCCTTCCTCCTTGCCCTCCTACTCTTCCCGCCTCCTCGACACAGCATGAGGTGGGAAACCGGACCTTCCACACCCACATTCGGGGAGAGCCACACGCCGCCCGCCCCCCGCCCGCGATCCCTTGGATAGTTCGGAGAGCCGCCGCGCCGAGCGGGCCCCAGGAAGGGGGGGGGGGGGCAAAGGACAGAGAAGGCGCTGGCCGCCCCAGGGCTGCACAGCGGGCAGCACCAGCCTTCTGATGTTCCAGCCGAAGTCTCGAGCATGAAGAAGATACCGAGGCTTGAAGGTTTTCAAGTGTCGAGCCCTGGGGGACGACATACTCGTTCGGCACTGTTTCGATGCTTTTCTGGGTGCTCGGAATGATTTCTGCGATGTGGTCCTTGAGTGCGATGAGAACAACTTCACACCAGCCCACCAAAGGTGGGTGGCCCCCGTGCATCCCTGGCTCTTCCTGCACCAGGGGGCACAGGTTGCCCCACGTCACCGTGCGGGGCACACGGCGCTCGTTTCCACGCGTTGGGCAGCCTGGCCCGCCCCCACGGCCCCCCTCGGCCCAAGGGGGGGCAGGGCAGCACACGCTTCTGAGCCGTGACTGCACCGCTGGCCGACCTCCCCGACCACACCCTTGCCCCGCCGCGTGGCGGGAGGGCCACCGCCTCTGGCCAGGTCTGTGCGCCTGCTCTGCCTTGGCCGCGCACGACAAACTCCTGGAATGCCTTTGCGACTTTCTGCTGCACATCTTTGCCGGACGTCCTGTGTCCCCTGGCCTCAACGGCGGTAGCACGGCGATGTTGCCAAAAGGAGACGAGCCAGAGGATTGCATCGAGATCCTACGGCACCCGCGCTCCCTGAGGTGCCGCCTGCCGAAGAAAAGCGACAGTAAACATCCGGCGGGAACCATCACCGACAAGGTCAAGAAGGTCGCGCAGCAGGAGGTGCACCAGATCCAGAAAGGCTTCACACCGCAGAGACAGCTCCTCAGACATACTGTGGGACTGGATGCGAGAGCTGGGACGGCATCGATCTGGGACTCTGTCATTGCCGAGGGCCCTTGCTCCAGTATCTTTGACACAAGGGCGGCCTTACCATCGCTTGAGAGGCGTTGGCTGTAGAAAGTGCCGTGACGCTTTCTCATCCCCGACGGCTTCATCAACGCCGTCACGTCGCTCTACTAGGATGAGCTGGTCTTCAGCCGAGTCGAGCACCTCCACGAGCCGATGTTCTGGGCGACGGGCGCCGTCGCGCAGGGGTGCTCGCTATCAGGCTCCTCCTTCCTCCCCGTTATCGTTTCTCCCATCCTCATCGCCCTCGCCATCTCCGCAGGAGTGCCCTTTCGCCCTCGACATCCTCCTTTCTCTCCATCCTCCACCTCCTCCTGCTGTTGTTTCTCCTCCTCCTCCTCCTCCTCCTCCTCCTCCTCCTCCTCCTCCTCCTCCTCCTCCTCCTCCCCCTCATCCTCCTCCTCCTCATCTTCCTCGTCCTCCTCCTCCTCCTTTTCCTCCTCCTCCTCCTCCTCCTCGTCTTCCTCTCTCCTCCCTCATCCTCCCTCGTCCTGCCTTCTCCCCCCCGCTTCCTCTCCGCCTCCCCCTTCCCGCCCCCCCTCGTCCGCGCCTCGGGGAGCTCCGCCCGGGGGCGCCCGTGGGAAGCCCTCGTCGGCCAGCCGAGGTCGGAAAGGCTGGCCGAATTCGCTGCGTGCGCAACGCCCGGGGCGCCCCTGCCCCGACGCGGGTGCGGAGGCTGCCTGCCGGCGCGTGTACCACTAGTCGCCAGTGCGCCGTCCAGGTGCCAGGCTTGGCTGCATGGGACGCGTGGCCTTCGGTGCCGCGGGCAGTCGTCGGGGGCGCGGGGATCACCGCGAGGCACGCCCCTCCTCCCCCGTCCTCACCTCCTCACCCTCCCTGGAGTTACGACGTCTTGATGTGTTC